TTGTATTTAATATAGCACCTTATCACATCGTAGAAATGTCTCAAACTGCTTCAAAGATTTTACTGTAAAGTGTAAGAGAATAGGCAGCCAGTTTGCAATGTCCCACAAACAACCATGAGATCATTTATATCCACCTGAATAGTCAGGTGGGACCTTGGTTTACTGTCAAATGTCCCACAAGCAGCCATAAAGTGAATGACCAATTTTATATGGGGGATTGTTGGTGCACCTGGAGAAACTTGCTTCTCTTTTCAGTTAGTATTCTGTCTTGGGATCTTTAATATCCCTCAAAATAAGCAGATGGGACCTCAGTATAATGGCTCATGAGAAGGATGGTCCTCTCACAATGCATCTCTATACTCACAAATGCATTTTGCGTCTGCAGTGCGAAAGATAAAAATGTTAAAAATGAGCAACTGATACCTGAACATTTTGGAGCTGTGAAAGGTTTATTGACATTTTCTTCCATTGAGCAAAAGAAAGTTTGCTTCAAAGAACCAGGGCTTTAGAGGCGTTATCTGAATTCAGTGAACAAAATAAAAAGGATATATGAAAGGAGAATCTGGACATTTGACTTACTAAAACAGTGGGGTCAGACTCCACCATTGTTAAGCTCTCCGGGATGCTATCCAGCGTGAAGGACGCTATATAAATGCAAGTTGTTATTGTAAAACATTTGTGTGTTTGAGAAGAGAGGGGGAATAAAGATTGATTGTGAGGAAATGGGAAGCTATTTTCAAACTAGGCATGAATAAAATTGACAAATTATTTAATCAAACAGTTTAGTGTTTACGTTTCAAACACTGGCAGTATCAACCTCCATAGTTGCACACTACAACTCACCGCCAGTCAGGAACCCAGGTGTCTTGTTCGACCCTCAACTGTCTTTTCTCCCCACATTCAAGCCATGACCCGCTCTGACTTCCCTCACTTCCGTAACATCACCCGACTCCGCCACTACCTCACCCCTCAGGCCGCTGAAACTCTTGTTCATGCCTTCATCACCACCAGGTTCGACTATGCAAACGCTATGCTTATCACCCTACCTCTGCGACCTCCTAACCCCCTACCAACCCGCCCGTTTCCTCCGCTCAGCCGGCTCCGGCCTGCTCCACGTCCCCGACCCACCCGCCCCACCATTGGCGGGAGAGCCTTCAGCCACTGCCCCCAACCTCTGGAATTCCATCCCCCAGTCACTCCGCCTCGGCCCCTCCTTAGCCTCCTTCAAGTCTTGCCTCAAGACCCTCCTCTTCGACTATACCATTGGTCACCCCCCCTTCCCTTCCACCCCCATGACCCCAGCTCGGGTCTGAAATGCTGTACACTGTCCAGCGCCTTGGGACATCCTTCCGACGTGAAAGGCACTATACAAATGTAATCTTGTTGTTGTTCAAATGAGATTGGACATTGCTAGAAATTTTCTTTTTTGCCCCTTTCAGAATAATAACAATTGCAGCAGAGAGTATGATATCTGCTTGACTGGCCCCTTTGTCAGTATGAAAATAGTGTGAGTGGAAGGGAGATATATTTTTGATTGTTTCCATTGAGAAATAAGATACAGAAGTCCCTAAACTATTTGATTTTAAACATACGTTGCCAATAAAATGACCTCGTCACCCAAGTCTTAATAGGAATTTTATTTTATTTTTTAATTCAGCAAGTGTAAACTCGACTTTGTTCAACGTTATCTTTCTATTGTTTTGTTTGTTCAACTCTGAGGCTTTCTATCATCTGTAGAAAGCTGCCCTCAATCAGTAGTGTTTTTTAAAAAAAACTCCTTAGGTAAACTCAGAAGTACTACAAAGAAAGACAGTTAATTACAGCACAGAAATGGGCCATTTGACTGATCAAGTCACTGTCATGTCTTTTTTCCCTGAGTGTATGTAACCCTGCTTGCTCTTCTTACTTTTTAATATTTATCCTCCTCAAACATCTATTGAATTTGCTTTTAAAATAATTTATGGATTCTGCCTCACCAGCAGTATCGTGGCAACACAACTCTCCACTGTATTGTACCTAAAGGAGGAGTTTAGGAGAACCGTGATATGACTGAGTTCCTCAGCTGAAGTACAATCCACCCTCCTGATTTTTTTTTAATCCATTTACATGAAGCTTCTGAGGGAAACTTCTTCAAAATTGTGCGGCAATACACAGAGGTAATTGAGTTGAGTGCAGGCATGTATTGTCTAGCGATCCCTGGCAGCTTTCTATGACCAGTGGGGCACTACATGATATCCATTTGTTCGCAACACTTGACAGCATTATATTTATCCCAAAGTATTAGATTGGACAGTGACCCATTTTCCTAATCTACTTTGAAAATGTTTCCTTTATTGGTTACCTCAGAAACATTGAAGCCTTGAAAAATGGAAAAATAAAATCATATCATAATGCACGTTCTAATCTATTTTAAACTTCGTTTTGAAATAACTTGGCCTTTGGGGCAGTAAAAAAAAAAGACCCCTTTATCGTCAAACAGTTTCAATGTGAGTTTCATGGGACGCAGTGCACAAAATTATTGTTTAAACATTTCTAGCATTAAATTAAAACATAGAGAATAAACCCTCACATCTGATGGACCACATCTCCCCAAATTATAATGCAACAAAGAATAAGCTTGCATTTTGAATATTAACTTCAAAACATCTTGAAGTACTTCACAGAGAATTCCTGGCAAGTGTAGTAACTATTTATGGATATCTTGCATCTATATAGTGTAGTGCCTTGTGTATAAACAAAATACAAATCCCTTTATGAGCTACAATTAATTAGAAATGAAGAGAATGTTTCTGCAAGCACAACTTCCTGTTTCAACCAGTAAATCATAACATATCCTGAATCAAAGCATATCGGGTGGTTTTGTTTGAGGTCGATGGCACGTAAAGTTATTTTGCATCTAAAGTTCTTCAGCGACTGGTTCAAGTAGTTGTAGGTGGTTGTTGGGATCACAGTGGATTGCTCCAGTTGGCAAGTTAGCACTATAATAGGCTCGGAGCATCAGTCTGAACCCTTTGGCTGCTGAGGGCCTGATGCCCTGTTTGAGAAACGCCAGCGGGCGGCCTAAGCAATATTTTTGTGTTTCTCTTCCAGAAACATACCATTTAAACAGCACTTGACACTGTTGCATGGCCACCTGAGCTGGGGTGTAAGCTGAGGGAGGTGGAGGGGAAAAGATGACTGAAAGTGCAGTCAAAGAGTTAGGTCTTGATTTGCCTTGGAAGAGAGGAGTGGGGGGGGAATGAGTCTGAGGGACGCCAGGAATGGAATTCCAGAGAACAAAATGGCGATGATGGGGCAGATGGGTGAGTGGGTGGGTGGGAGCTTGTTTCCTCAGCAAAGGAAATGGTTTAGTTGGGGATTTGCAGTGGGTAGGAGGGTGGGGTTGGAAGGATGCAGAGAGGTTTTTCACTGGGGAAAGAGAAGCGCTCTGTGTCCGTCCTCGTTTCCCCCCGCGGCGGCCGAGGGAGGTTCACGATAGTCTCTCCTGACAGTGAACCACAAAATCCTGCCCTCACTTACCCTCCCTCTCCTCATTCTCTCACTCATTCTCTCTCTCCCTCATTCTCTCTCTCTCTCCCTCATTCTCTCTCCCTCATTCTCCCTCTCTCTCCCTCATTCTCTCTCTCTCTCCCCCTCATTCTCCCTCTCTCTCCCTCATTCTCCCTCTCTCTCCCTCATTCTCTCTCTCCCTCATTCTCTCTCTCCCCCTCATTCTCTCCCTCATTCTTCCTCTCTCTCCCTCATTCTCTCCCTCCCTCCCTCCCTCATTCTCTCTCTCTCCCCCTCATTCTCTCCCCCTCATTCTCTCTCCCTCATTCTCTCTCTCCCCCTCATTCTCTCCCTCATTCTCCCTCTCTCTCCCTCATTCTCCCTCTCTCTCCCTCATTCTCTCTCTCCCTCATTCTCTCTCTCCCCCTCATTCTCTCCCTCATTCTCTCTCTCTCTCCCTCATTCTCTCTCCCTCTCTCTCCCTCATTCTCTCTCTCCCCCTGTCTCTCTCTCTCCCACATTCTCTCTCTCCCCTCATCTCTCCCACATTCTCTCTCTCCCCTCATCTCTCCCACATTCTCTCTCTCTCCCTCATTCTCTCTCTCCCTCATTCTCTCTCCCTCATTCTCTCTCCCTCATTCTCTCTCTCCCTCATTCTCTCTCTCTCCCTCATTCTCTCTCTCCCCCTAATTCTCTCCCTCATTCTCCCTCTCTCCCCCTCATTCTCTCCCTCATTCTCTCTCTCTCTCCCTCCCTCATTCTCTCTCTCCCTCCCTCATTCTCTCTCTCCCTCCCTCATTCTCTCCCTCCCTCCCTCCCTCATTCTCTCCCTCTCTCCCTCCCTCCCTCCCTCCCTCATTCTCTCTCTCTCCCCCTCATTCTCTCTCCCTCATTCTCCCTCTCTCCCTCATTCTCTCTCTCTCCCTCCATCATTCTCCCTCTCTCCCTCCCTCATTCTCTCTCTCTCCCTATTCCCTCATTCTCTCTCTCTCCCTCCCTCATTCTCTCTCTCCCTCCCTCCCTCATTCTCTCTCTCTCTCTCTCCCTCACTCTCTCTTCCTCATTCTCTCTCTCTCTTCCTCTCTCTCTCCCTCACTCTCTCTCCCTCCCTCGTTCGCTCCCTCCCTCGTTCGCTCCCCCTCGTTCACTCCCCCTCTCCCCCTCCTCGTTCGCACCCTCTTCCCGCCCCTCCTCGTTCGCCCCCTCTTCCCGCCCCGCCCCCGTTCACACCCTCTTTCTCCTCCCCCTCCCCCTCGTTGGCACCCCCTCTCCCCCCCCCTCATTCGCACCCTCTTTCCCCACCCCTCATTTGCACCCTCTAACTCCTCTCCCTCCCCCCCGTTCGCACCCTCTCTCCCCTCCCCGTTCGCATCCTCTCTACCCCACCCCCTCTCTCTCTCTCTCTGAAAAGAATGCTTTGTAGAGTCACCTTCTCATAAGATGTCTGTATTTGCTGGGAGGAGTTTGTTTTCTGCATCGCATAATATCACTGTGGGTCTCTTCATTCGCAGGTCATTGATAATTATCAGCACGTTGGACGGACATATTGCTGCACTCGATCCGGAGGATCACGGAAGCAAACGGTGGGAGCTGGATATGGGCACAGGCTCCCTGGTTTCCTCTAGCCTCAGCAAGCCTGAGGTAAGAGACTAATGTTGTTTACGTTCAATCCATGGCATTACTTGTATTGTGGATTGTACAGTAGCTTAGAGAGTGTTTGAGTTACAGGACTCATAGAGCCATTCACCCTCCTAAGCTGGGCTGGCTCATCAACTGGACTCACTTTGGTCCTGTTCACTGCTCTTTTGTCGTATTGTTTAATATTTTTCTTTGACTGTTTTATCTACTCCGATGGTGTACTGGTTAGTGCTGCAGCTAATGGACCAGTCGCTCGAATTTGCTTTGGTCTGCACTGAAGTTTTGGAGAAGACACGCTGCCAATTTTAAATGGAGGAGGTGCAATATCTGAACCGATGGGTTGTCAATGAGTCCATGCAGAAGTTACCACTGTCTTAAAACTGCACCAAACTTGTCAAAATTCCAGAATATATCGGAGGAAAAAGTCCATTGATTTGACTTAATTTAAGTTCTCTAGTTTATTTTTGGACATTCCTGGACATTTTGTCCAGCCGGTTTTTACCTCGAGGCCTTGTTTATTGTGCCCATGAGAAGTTAAAATAGTTTGTGCCCATGAGAGTGTATGAAATTTTGTCTAACGTCCAAGATGGGGACTGGGTGCTATGTGGCTTTTGTGTGCTGTCCTTGCACTGGCTGTAGTACAGATGTCTTCAACTGATAATCAAGCACTGCATGACAAGGCTTGCTTTCATTGTGCAGCATGTACATATTCCAAGATCCTGTCTTCCTGTATAATTGTGTTGAAGATCATATGACACCGTTTGAAAAAGAGCAGTAACATGGCCAACAATACATAAACCATTCACGTGTCTTATTGTATTTTCCGAGGGCTTTGCTGGTGTAGATTAACAGCTACGTAACAGCGTTTTGAATTGATGCAATGTGCTAGCTCAAATTCAAGAGCCAGGAGGCTATAGGGAAGGTGGGCTGTGGACAGGAACATGGTAGCAATGCTCTCACACATATCATGCTGAGATGTGTTGCCCACGACAAGCTCGCAGGGAGTTCTTGCTACCTACCATCCACCTAGTGAGGGCTCAGATCCGTGCTTATTGGATGTTGAATGACCAACTAGTGACTACCCTTCTTGGTTTGGGGCGTGGGGGTGGTTAAGCGTGGTCTCCTTGGAGCATGAACAGACTCCGAGGTGACGTGTTTGTCAATGTAATGTCTGAATCGAGCCAACCCTCTGTGGCTGTCTCTAGTCTGGTTCCTGAACCAGGTGGGTCCGCAGTATTCCAGGGCACTGCTGGTGATGACACAGCCAGCCTCACTCAACAGCAGGGGTTGGAAGGGCAGACCAGTCACTGGGGGCAGGGATTCTTCCCACTCAGCTCCAGTTAACACTGCAAGGCAAAGCCCTAACGGCTAGGGTGGTCCTAGCTGGATAAGCAACGGGCGCTGTCTGTTGCACAGTTGTAGAAATTATAGCAGAGAAGTCACTTCACCCCATGGATCAACTTTCCACCTTCTAAAATATCACAAACTTTTGCATCATCTGGTCACCACCAATGTCTTAACACTGAACTATTTTCCCTACTTTAAATGAGATGCCTTCTGTTAATGAGTAAAATAAATCCATTCCCATTTGGAACATTCAGGTCACTTCACGGTTCAAATAATGAAGCAATTTTTGCCCTGTTTTACTGCTGTTAGTTGAATACATCAATATCTTAAGTGCTTTCTCGGCGTGTTGCTATTTGAGCTATCAGGTCACAACCACTCTCCGTATGTAGGGGTGTTAACTATGTATATATTTGTTTCTGCCAATGAAATGTTTAGAAAAGAAATGATGGGGGAAGTCCACTCTAACTGAACAAAGGGATTTTGTGGTGGATGTGCTGGCGGTGTGTTGATCACGCTTGCCAATCTCAGCAGTTACACAAAACTATTATTGAAGTGGTGCAGAAATGAATGTTGCATTGATGCCAAATATGTGGTGTGATTGTGGCGTAAGCATTCACATGTTTTTTATGGTATCAGATTAGGGGAAAACAAACAGCTTAACCAGCAAGTGGAATTGAAAACCAACCACTTTATCTGGCATTTAATCTTTCCTGTTTGGGTACGGCTCTTTTAGTTTATGGCTGTGGCTACAAACAAACCTTTACATGGAGTGTAGTTCTGTCGCTCAGTGGTTAGAGATCTCGCCTCGCAAGTGAGAGGCAACAGTCGAAACTTTGGGCAAATTTCCTTACTCCACATGTCTTTGTTTACCTAGCAGTAAGTAGGAACCCGGTTGCTTAGTCGATTGGAGGATCACTTTTCTGGGAGTAGTAATTCCTTCAAAAAAATAATGAATTGGTCACTTCAATCCATGACTGTTTGTGGGACACTGCTGTGCGCAATTGTCTGTCGTGTTTCGCCCACAAAATAAACAGGCAATTCACTTTACAGTATATTCTGTGAAGCGCTTTGAGACGTCGCAAAGGCGCTATATCAAATGCAAGGATTATTATTATATTTACCAATGCTTAGTATAGACCTTGCCTCCAAGAAAGCGAAGACTGATCTATAACCTCCTACACCACATCTTAATATTGGTCACTGGAAACAGGGATTCGTCCCACCTAGTTCCAGCAAGCCAAAGCCCTAATGGATAGGATAATCTGAGCTGGACAAGCAGCAGCAAGCTTGCTAAACAGTGGTTTCAGTGACAAGCTGTGTATTTTTAGCTGGCTATATTCCAACAGGATGTGCACCCTCTTGGTCCCCGAAATGTAGGCTTGTGCCAACCTGTGCCTAATACTCTCCGGAATTAGTTAAGCAGTGTGTGTCCCTCCGGAGGAAGAGCATGTATTTCATTCCAGACACAGGAAATTTCAAAGGAACTCTTAGCCTTTTTTGGATGCTCTGTGTGGTGTGATGGGTTTCCAATTGTGCCAGACACCTGTTTGACCAAAACATAGTCTTACAACAACTATTAAGGTGGTTGGTGAGGGTGTGTGGAGGAAAGAAGGGAAGGGTGAGGTATTAATTTGGATTCTTCTTTGTTTGAAGCAATGTTTTCTGTTGGCAATACTGCAAGTTGAATGCAACCAGTGTTTTCTTGGCAGCCTTGTTACATTTACAGGCTTATGTAGTTGTAAAGGCAGTTCTTAGGAGACAAATGCGAGCTTGCCTTGGTAAACCACTTGTTCCCAGGCTAGGAGGTTATGGGTTCATGTTGGGTCTTGAGCCCTCATACTCCAAGGCAGTGCTCAGGGAGCCCTGTGTTACTGAAGATGTTGTCTGCTGATTGAGACATTGATGTGGGTTACCATCTGCCTTTCTTCTGTTGTCAAAGACCCAGAATATTTTATTTAATTCTTACATTTGATAAAGTGCCTTATTGTTTCTTCACTGTCTCAAAGCACCTCACAGGATTTTACTGTCGTGTTGTGACCATGTATTTGTAGATGAACGCAGCAACCAATTTCCGCACAGTGATATCCTGCAAACAGCCATGAAGTGAATGATCAATTTTATTTAGGGGATTGTTGTCCAGTACACAGGGAGAGATTCCCAACTTCCTTTGAGTTGTGCCATGGGATTTTTAACATCCACCTGAGTACCCAGATGGGGCTTCGGTTTAATGTCTCATTTGAAGAACAATACCTTGGACAGTGCAGCCCTCCCACCCGAGCACTGTGTCAGTGCATTCATTCAGCGTCGGCCTGACCCGAGTTCAAACCTCTATTGTGGGCTGATCCCATAACCTTCTGACTCAGAGGTGGGAGTGCTACCAATTGAGCTATGGCTGACACCACACATCTCTGGCCAATGATCCTCTAGATAAACCGTTCATTCCCCTTGTGACCCTCTGGGAGAGCTTGCTATGCACACATTTGACTGAGTTTGTCACAAAAAGTCTCTGCACTCGACCATAATTACTCATATATGCTTTGAGAGATTTTGATATATGTTTTGAGACATCTTTTATAGACAAGATGCTATAAAAGTGGTCTTTTCTCAGTGTAACAAACAAGCAGTTCAGTAGTGAAGATTAACTACTCAGCATTTGGTGTTTAATGTTTACCCTCGAGTTTTGGTCTGACCGGGTCTTGCCCGATGCTGAAAGGGAAAACTGTTCTTTTCTAATGCTCTCTTTGGCAGGGTATATGGTTAACTCAAGCCATGAGCAGAAGTTTGTGGCTGGCATAGCTCAGATCAGGAAGCGAGTGGAGAATACAACATTCTGCCCCATGGTGCTGTGTGCTCAAGTTCAGCCCTCATCGCTGCTTCCTTGGTCCAACGGATTTAACTGTTGAGACTTTAATGCTGACTTCATTTTGTTTTACAATCGGCAATCCCGTTGAAGAACCTCAGGGTCCCGAAGTTCTCAAATTTAAACTCGTATGGAATTTTTGAAACTTAATTTAAATTTAGATTTAGCTTGCAAGTCATTTTTCTGCAGTACACCAAAAAGAACTGTGAAAGAGACTGATATTCCCAGTTGCAAATATCTTGCAAATTTCCACACAAACTTTAAATTTAACGACGATGATCTTAAGACCACCCTCATCTGCGTGTCTAACCTTCCTGGCATGCATGGCTCCCAAAAGGTTGGACATGTGCTTTCAGCGCCTTAGGACATCCTCTCGATGCGAAAGGCGCTATGTAAATTGTATTGTAACCTACAAGTGCATAATACCGCAGTTGGCAATTTCAGACTTTTATGTGTGTAACTGCTCACTTCCTCAGCCCTGTTCTTTGTTCTACTGCAACATTTATCCACGAGTACACGTGGCACCTATATCTTTTTGTTCTGTTGCTGCCAGAGACAATCTGGTGTTGACTAGTCTACAGTGAAACCCTTATCTTAACACTATGTTTGTATGCCACTTTCATAATATAGTAATGATCCTCATATATAATATGGTGCCTAAAATGTTAAACATCTCAAAGCACTTTACAAAGTTTCTGTAAGGTGTAGTGACTGTTTCTTGGTGAAGGTGGCAGGAAATTTACACATAGCAATGTCCACCACCCATGGTGTAATTGATAATTTTACCCGGACGATTGTTGGTCAGGACAGGAGGAGAATCTCCTTTCTTTTTGAATAGTGTCGTGGAATCTTTACCGTCCACCTGAACAAGCAGATCAGATCTCAGTTTAATATCTTCATAGGAGCATCAGACTAGATTATGAGCTCAAAGAACAAAAACAGCAACTTGCATTTATACAGCGCCCCTCACACAGATTAGCGTCCCAGAGCGCTTGAAGTCCAAATGTGGGACTTGAATGTGGGACTTGAACCTTCTGACTCAAAGGTGAGGGTGCTACCCATTGAGCCAGGCTAACACCTTTGAATTGCAAGTTTGCTTGAAAAAGGCAATTTTGCCCTCGGAGGCAACCCAGGCTTGTAGACACTTGCTGGAGTCGGGTCTGCTGTGTTACGCAGTGAGAAGACCCCGTGGGATGCGATAACAGAAAAGCAGCATGAACTGCGCTCTTTGTGCACCTGTTTACCCACTGCTGCCCTGGGGCCTTTTGTGAAACAGTAAGTGCTGTACTTTGAGGGGATATTGCTGTTTGAATGCAGTGTCACTTTGAAGAGGTAAGAATGCCTTCAGTGCAGCATGAGTCATACTACGAGATTAGCCGGTGAGGTAATGCTCTTCGGAGGGAGGAGGTGATGTCATTTCCTTGAGCACAGCACCTTCAGCATCACCACCTGCAGTGAATAGGGGACAGGTTATGGATTACTCAGAAACAATTTAATAGACAATATCGGTTTGGACACGGATCCCGTTTGCCTTTTAATCTGGAAATTCAAACAAAGCGTCAGCTTGTGTTTTGCAACCACCATATTAGAAACCACTTTGTTCATCTCACAGCATTCAGTGTAACATAGATGGTATTAATGTGGGACTGCTGCACGTGCTCACTGCCCACTGTGAAGTAATTTGCTGCAGTCTGGCCAATTGGCATGCTACTGCAGTGCAGATGCCATCTGGTAAATGAAGGGAAGAAGGATTGGGGTTTGAGTTATCGTTTTCCTCTTAAGATGCATCGCGGGTGCTGAGAGGCTGTTTTCATTGTGGTTTGCACTGATTATGAGTACAGCGTGCGACTGGCACAAGTCCGCTGCATGTCCTTCGTCCCTTCCACTTCACAATTAATGGCTGTGTTTTCAGCCACTAAGCCCCGAATCTCTTGAACTCCTTGCCTGTATCCCTCAGTCGTGCCTCCTCATTGTCTATCTTCAAATCACATCTGAAGACTTTCCTCTGTGATTGTGCCTTCCGTCAGTTCTTTTCTGTGTGTATTTGAATCAGTGGAGGTGAAGTTTGGAGAGGGAGTGTGTCAAGATGCAAATTGAGTAGTCGGTGCCTCCACATTTTACTTGTGGGAGTTGTGCATTTACTCCATTTGTTAAAACCTGCCCGAGGTCTTGGATTTTTAAAAAAAACATATTAGGACATCTTCTATTTCAATCTCCAAGGTCTTAAAAATCTTCCATTAAATGACTAATGCGTAGTGGGAATGGTTAAACTTGTAGAGACGCCTGTGGCAGCCCAAAGGCCAAAATGTGTTTTGATACAGCTATGACTCAACAGTCTTGTAGACTTGATCTCGCTTACTTTGACTCATTTTTGTGATGTCCCCAGAATTGGATAAACCATGTGCAAGTCGGATTTCATTTATTTCAGTCAACTTTTTAAAAAAAATAAATTGGAAAAGTTGGTATGTTTTTCTTCTTTAAGCCACAAGTTTTCTGCGCGATTCCTGACCCAAAGAAGGGCCAACCAACTGTTCACAGACCTTTTCAACCCCAGCTCGGGTCTGAAATGCTGTACTCTGTCCGGCGCCTTGGGACGTCCTCCCGACGTGAAAGGCGCTATACAAATGTAATCTTGTTGTTGTATATAAATGCAAGTTGCTACTATTGTCTGCAGATTGCCTCCCACCTGTTGTAAAACCTGTAAGAATTTGCTTGGAATAAAAGATAAATTATTATCCCTTTTTGCTCCAATGCAGTGCTGGGGTTGTGCTGCATTTTTGGAGGTGCCATCTATCGGATGTGGCATTTAACCAAGTCTGCCTGTTCAGGAGACATTAAAGTTCCTATGATACTACTCGAAAAGAGAAGGGAGTTTCTCCTGGTGTCCTGGCCAACAATCTCCCAAATAAAATTGTTCGCACACTTCATGGCTGTGTGCACATTGGCTGCTATGTTCACCCAAAAAGTACAGTCACTGTGCAGTATATCCTGTGAAGTGCTTTGGGATGTCTTCTTGACAATGAAGGGCATTATACTAAATGTACGTACAGTAAATCTCCGCCTTACATGTGGGCCTGTGTGTAGATCCCACAGCAGTAGATAATTAAGAAGTTTTTTTAAAAAGATTCTATAATATTTGTCGTCTCTCAAATGTGACTTCTGATTCCACTGAATAGAGACCATAAAGCAGAATATGAAAAGAGGGTGAGCTGCACAGTGTATTAGGAGTATGTAGAGGAAAACGCCAGTGCAGGCTAAATGGCCTGTGTTACTATTTAACACTTATTATTGCTCTAATAATATGACATTTGTAGATTGTGTGTGGGTATGGGTGGGCGGCTAAATATATTTTGTGACGAAATGATTCAGGAAGCTAAGTGTATGTTTCTGAACATTTTCTCAACTTTTAACCAATTTTATTTTGATAGGTTAATAAAGTGTTTTATTGTCCATGTATACAATTGATTACAGGAGTGAGAGGTCTGTAAGTCCTATTTTCTTATCAGTTGGCTTTTTATTAGTTTACTGAGTAACTTATCACAATGCGTGGCGAGTGCTGTAATCACTAAGCTACATTGGTGCCATCAAAATTCTGAGTTCATGGGGCAGGCTCCAGTTTTACTTTCAAAGGACACGTCTCTAGATACGACAGGCATTTATCGCTCAAGGCTACAGTAGTGTCCTCCTGACATAAAACGCGCAAAATAAGTGCAGTTTGTTAGTTCACAGTTTGTGTATGTTGGCAAGAGCTCATACGGATACTGTGCTGCTGGAGACTTTACAGAGACCATATCTGCATCTGAAAGATCACGTGATGCTTTCAATGTAGCCTGGTTTCTAGATGGCACTGAGTAGTTAGAGAACAAGCCCACTTCTACACAATGTCCTGAAAGTGAGCGGGAAAATCACTGAATATTCTGTTGTATAATTTACAGACCAAACATTATAATAATTCTTCCATTTGATATAACGACTTAGCACGTCTTTGAGACACCTCAAAGCGCTTCACAGAATATACTGCAAAGTGGATCGATTCTGTATTTTGTGGGCAAAACACCACAGCCAATTGCTCACAGCAGTGCCCGATAAGCAATCACGGATTGAGTGACCAAATTAATGTTTTTACTTACTTTGAAGGGATTATTATCCCCGGAAAAGCAATCCGCCAATCGACTAACAACCGGGTTTCTACTTACTACTAGGTAAATAGAGGCATGTGAAGTAAGGACACTTGCTTAACATTTCGCCATCGGCAATTGCTTGCCAGGCTGTAACAACTGAGCTACGTTGGTGCTAGCGAAGGTCATGGTGCAGGCTCCAGTTTTACTTTCAAAGAACATGTCGCTAGATAGGACTACATAGACTTCCAAAGAGAGTAAATTGATGCCTGTTATACCGTACCTTTTAGTTCAAGCCACGTGTGTTGCTAAATTCTACATACTAGATTGAAGTTTAATAACAAACTAGTAATTCTTTCAATCTTGCTCACATTACTACGTTTTATCCACCAAATACAGTCAATTCAGTTTATAATATATTCCGTGAAGTGCTTTGAAATGTCTTAAAGACACGATAAGACGCTACATCAAATGCAAGGATTATTATTATTGTTATTGCATTTATGCTATTGCACCTCTTTATAGCGGAATTTCAGTTATAATGTGGTTGCACTGTGGACCCTATTCATTGCTCGTGCTCTCAGTTTGCCCACTTGTCTTCTGCACCATAATGGCTGACTTCCGTCATAATGTGGAGTCCTGTGGCTCAGTGGTTAGAGCACTCGCTTTGCAAACGAGAGTTCAATTCCAGGCAGAGGGCGAAACCTTGGGCAAGTTTCCTTACTCCACACAGAGCCTAATAATAATCCCTCCAAAAGCAAAACAATAATAAATTGGTCATTTTCAGTCCACGACTGTTTGTGGGACATTGCTGTACGCAATTGGCTGTCGCGTTTGCCCACAAATATACAGTCAATTCACTTTACAGTATATTCTGTGAAGCGCTTTGGGACGTCCTCCCGACGTGAAAAGCGCTATATCAAATGCAAGGATTATTATTCCGGGTCATCGAGCCGCTGACACCAGCACTTTCCTGCTTTGTACATCAAGTGATGTTGGTAGTGACTTGAGGACCCAGAAGTCAACATTTTTTTACTCTTAGCTCAGGAACTGAGCAGCTGTGTGCATACACAGTGAACCATCTGATGTGCTTAGTCAAATATATCATTAAGCTTTGCTATAACATTGATTTTATGGATCCAATTGCTCACACCCCACTCTATCTGCTCCCTTCGCTCAGCTAGCTTTAGCCTCCTGCGCCTCCCTTGACGCCCCTCGCCAATCCACAATTGGCGGCTGTGCTTTCAGTCACTACTCCCCAAACCTCCATTTTGGCCCCTCTTTGCCAATGTTCAGATCACACCTGAAGACTTTCCTCTCTGACCGTGGCCACAGTCTTTCTCCCTTTCCCCTTTCTTCCCGGATCGGTGTCAAACTACAGCATGTTAAGCGCACAGAGACGCTACCCGTGTGAAGGGCGCTATATAAAAGCAGGTTGTTGTATAACGGGGCTAATTACAGCTCATGGTGACGTTCATCTCTTCCGTTTGCATGATTTTCTTTCACATGTTACATGTGCATATTCAGCTGCTCCTTGTGTGACTGCTTCTTCTGTTTGCAGGTATTTGGGAACAAAGTAATAATTCCGTCTCTGGACGGTGATCTCTTTCAATGGGACCGAGACCAGGAGAGCATGGAGGCTGTGCCCTTCACTGTGGAGTCTCTGCTGGAATCTTCCTATAGAATTGGTGATGATGTGGTCTTGGTCGGTGGGAAGTCGCGGACGAGCTATGGGTTAAATGCATACACCGGAAAGGTTGGCAAGTTTCTCTCTCCCTCCTGCCTGATCTCCAGGTGACTATCGATTCCAGTCACTCGATAGGCTGAACAATTGATGACCTAATTACACGATGAGCCTGCGGCATGAAATTCTTCACAGTCTTAGCCTTGAGAGCATATCTTAATTTAAAATTCATGTGGGATTTGGGAAATCTTCATTTGGAAGCGAGTTTTCCCTGCACTTTTTAATGAAAAAAAATAAACACAGGCTTCCACATTAAAGCTGAATTCGAGGACATTCCAGAATTTTGCAGTTTTTTTTAAAAATAAGAGCTTTTCAGGCTAAGACTGAAAAATGTTAATCCTCTGAATTCTCAATCTTGTATTGATTGATGGGTCCTTCCTGAAGCTGGTGAGCAATACAATAGAATTTACATTTATATAATGTCTTTCACATCTGGAAGATGTCTCAAAGAGCCTTTCAAACCTCTATGAAAATTAGCAAACATTTTGATTGAGTTGTTGACTGTGTAGGACAGAATCTCCTCTTTAACTCCGGGAGGACCACTTTGATCATTTGACACTGGTGGCGGGGCATCCCAGCTGGGGATGGGAGCTAAAAGGGGTGGGGAGGCGAAAGATGACCGAAACTGTGGTCAAAGATGTTTTAAGATGGGCCTTGATCAATGGAGGCAGTCAAAGGGACTGGAATATTCCAGGAGCAGAATGGCTGAAAGCCTGCTCAGTAAGGGCGGGGGACATGAAGCAGGCCAGTGTTCGTTGGGTGAAGGATGGCTGGGAAGGGAGGAAGTTGCAGAGGTAGGTTGGGGTGAGACAGTGGAGGGATTTGAACATGAGAATGAGGATCTTGAAGTCAATGCTCTGGGGATAGCCTCAGGAAAGGATACTGGGTGCAGAGTTCCAAACAGTACACAGCCCACGTAGGGAAGAGCCGGGGAATGCGCTGAGCAGAATTTGGTGTCATGAAGTTTGGATGAGAGTCTCAGCAGCTTGAGAGGAGTGGTTGTGACGGACAATGTTACATTGAAACAGGAGTTTGCAATTCGGACCATCAACCCTGTCCACCAATGTAACAGGATCATGGCTAATCCTCAACTCAATTGCATCTCTCTGTCCTCTCTCCATATTCTTTGTTGTTGTTGATACCCCTGTCTATCGAGCATAATATCTATTTGTCTTTTACATTCTTCATGTAACTCTGCTTCCGCTGTCTTCTGGGGGAGTGAATTCCACACTCACACCACCCACTGTGTGGAAAAAAAGCTTCCTTATTTCACTTTTGAACAGGTTTAGCCTCAAGTTTAAAACTGTGGCCTCTGGTCTTCAATTCTCTTGCCAGAGGAACTAGACAGACAGTTTAACACCTCATGAGCTGAGGTGCTGTGCTCTTTATGTTGAAATGTGTGCTGGATAATGATCTTTGGCCATTTCTGCCAGTGCTTCTTACAGGAGTTGAACCTTCAGCTACTTCATCCCTCTGAAAATCCCTCCCTATACCCACCTGTTTCTCCCCTCCCCTCCCCCCCCCCCCCTATCCCTGGTCTTAAAATTGCACCATAAAATCTATCTGGAGTGGAGTCCTGTAGCTCAGTGGTTAGAGCACTCGCTTTGGAAGTGAGAGACCTGAGTTCAATTCCAGGCAGAGGGCGAAACCTTGGGCAAGTTTCCTTACTCCACACAGAGCCTAATAATAATCCCTCCAAAACCAAAAACAATAATAAATTGGTCATTTTCAATCTACGACTGTTTGTGGGACATTGCTGTGCGCAATTAACTGCCGCGTTCGCCCACAAATATACAGTCAATTCACTTTACAGTGTGTTCTGTGAAGCGCTTTGGGACGTCCTCCCGACGTGAAAAGCACTATATCAAATGCAAGGATTATTATTATTATTATCTCTTCCAACTCCACCTGTGGTCACCTCCTACTTTCCTTACCCCTCTATCCCTGCTTTCCCCCTTGCTCAACATTAAACCCATCCATTGCAGAGCAATTTGCCGTGTTTTCCGACATGAAGCAAGGTATATAAATTGGATGTTATTGTGTTTTATAAATGCGTGTGTGAATTCAGTTCACACGCAGCATCTGACTCGCATTGCTCCCTGTAGCTTGCATTAACGACATCCACCCTTGTGTCCTGGCAGCTACAGTATGTTTGCTCTGCTGCGGGGTGTCGCCGTTGGGGTAAAGAGGAGGCAGCTGAACACAGCTCAGACCTGCTGCTCTTGCAGCGCACACAGAAAACCGTCCGAGCCGTGGGACCACGATCTGGGGCTGAGAAGTAAGGCATTTTGGGTTATGGTTTCTGGGTTTTTTTCAAATTAAAGAGCGAAGTTGACTGTTGTAGGAGCTGGGAACTGCAGTTATTGGATGTGGACTGCTCGGTTTGATCAGGTTTTCTACCAAGTCTGTGCATAGTGCACTACTTCAAAGTTTAGGGTGTTCACAAAGTCCTGTTACCCCCATGTTTATTTTCTACAGGGCACTGACCAATGTCTGAAACGTGGAAGAATGATGATAATTGTATTTAGAAGCAATTCATTGTATTCAGTATAAGTGTTTAACTGTATTTAGACGTCCAGAGGATCAGTGTGTCTAAGCCCCATCATTTTCATGGCAGATAATAATCCGTCGCCATGTTCAGTGCGACATCTTCTGTAACGTGATGGAGTGAGAAGGCAGTTACTAGTGTCAGACATTGTTACACTCGACTTCATCTGCAGCAGGAAATAAAAATTAATTGTAAGAAAAACACAGGAGGGTAACAGGACTTTGTGAACACCCTGTATGTACAGTGAGGTATGCACGGTACGGGCCTCACATACTGAATGTAATTGATGCAATTGTCGGAGGACAGAAGGAGGCCATTCATCCCATCATTGCCATTGTGTTTGGTCCCATTCCCCCCAGCCTCCCCCCCCCACACAGCTTGGTGGTAAATTCCGTAGCTTGTATTTTTTTGCTGTACAAAAGTCCCTGTGTTGTAAAATAATAATAATATTATTCCTTGCGTTTGATATAGTGCCTTACCACATTGTTGAGACATCTCAAAGCGCTTCACAGAATATACCATAAAGTGAAATGACTGTGTATGTTGTGGGTGAAATGCAGAATAATGCCACACGGAATAAATTGTTCTTTTTTTTAAAAAAGCCAAGTAAAAAAAATAACTGAAATAACTTTGCATTTCCTTCAGGTGGAATTTTAGTGTGGGGCACTACGAGCTCAAGTTTGTCCGTGATGTCATGTCCAATGTTAACTACATAGAGAGCGATTCTAAGCCCGGCAGCAAGAAGGAAGAAGTGAAGATTATGCCTGAAGAGGCCCAGGATGCGTGATTAACGGCATGGTTATAAAAGTCTCTGTCACTGACTGGAAAGTGATGGCTTTTAACAATCAAGATGGAGGGCAACTGGAGTGGGAGCATCAGGTAAAAATAATAATAATAATCCTTGCATTTGATATAGCGCTTTATGTCTTTGAGATGTCTCAAAGTACTTTACAGAATATACCATAAAATGAATGAATTGACTGTATATTAAAAATATGTTAATACACAAATTTATATGTATGTATGTACATGTATATAATTTTTACATAAATAGATTTCTTTGGATTAAAAAAAATATTATTTGTGTAAAAATAACACACAAACCTGCAATCCCTTTTTCTTTTATAATATTGGTATTTTGCTCAGAGACAGATCTATATCCTTCAAATAAGGGTATTCAGGGAGAGGGCTGCATGTTCCAAAAGTGACAAAATGGGATTAAAAGATGATTTCAGAAAAATCCCTGATCTTCTCCCCCTCCCCTCCCACCCACCTTTAGAAAACATGTGGCTGAACTTAATGACCTAATGGCTTCCTGTTTCTATCTTGTAAAATGCTGATTGCTACTTTGAGTTCTGTAGAGTATTTGATTGAGCACTCGCTTCACAAGCGAAAGGACCCGGGTTTGAATCCCGGGCAGGGCAAGTTTCTTTATTCCACAAAATATAGTCAATTCATTTTACAGCATATTCTGTGAAGCTCTTTAAGACATTTTAGCAACGTGATAAGGTGCTAAATCAAATGTAAGCATTATTATTTATTGGGTTGTAGATGAACACGTCTAGGTTTTTAATGCTGTCAGAATTTTTTGACAAATGTCTGGAATTACTGTTTTGTTTCTCTTTGTTTCCTTGGATTCCTCTTTCTCTACACCCCCCACCACCCAAATAAACCTGCCTAGTTCTATACTCCAGTTGCATCAGCTTGGTTAGTTGAGGATGGAGAAGTGAGTCCGATCAGGTTATTTGATGCCAGTTACAGCACAGACAGCCAAGGTGGACAAGATGATGAGGAGGACCTTGTGGAGGCAGCACGGAGCGCCGCGGAGTCCAGTGTGTACCTCGGTAAGAGAAACCCACATTCAAACTGTTAACGGTGAGGCTGAGAATTGGCTTCATCTTGTAAACAGTTTGGTGCATAGAGGGAAATCCAGGATGTACAACTTGTACTCCACTCTTCTGCCCCCACCTTCACTCAGCTAACACAGGCATGCTGCATGTACCCCAACTGCTCTGCATTACCTCAAAGGCTCTGAATTGTGTTGTACTTCTACGCTTTTAATGCTATTAGAATTTTTTGGCAAGTGGGGGACATTACTGTTTCTTTCTCTGTGTTCCCGATCATTTCCCTTTCTTTCTCTACCACCCCACCCCCCCATAAACCTGTTCAATCCCTCTGTTTGACCCCTGTCTATCTGTCTTGAAATCCCACCTGAAAATTTACCTCTTCAACCCCTTTTCCCTTGCTCGGTGTCCAACCCTGACACTGCGGAGACGGTATCCTGCGAGAAGCAAGTTGCTGTTGATGTAGATTCAGGGCCTGGGATCTGTGTTTTTGTTCTCTGGGATATAGGAAAACGGTTTAGATAATGTATAAAATACAATATAGTGAAATAGAACAAGGTGACCTTGCTTGACGAAAGCCAATTGTAACCCTTTTTTGAGCCTCAATTTTTTTATAATATCCATTGCTAGTAGTTCAAACATTCTTTAAAAGAGCCAGCACAGAGTCAGCTAAATAGTCCTTAAATTTCTATGGTTCTAGGTTCTCCTCGGTTGATGAATTTTTGAGATTTGAGAGTAAGTTCTGGTTGCTTTTGATAGTCGAATTAATTGACTTGAAATTCCTCTTCTGTAATATTCCAGGAATGTATAAAGGACAACTCTATGTGCAGTCATCGACCCCCTTAAAGTTACCAACATTTGACAAAACGAGGGCAGAGCACGTCATTATCCACTTGCCTAAACTGAAATGGAATCCTCTCATCCGTAAGTTAAATAGATTGAAATGTTTGCCAACATTTCTTTTTAAAACGTACCTTTTATTTGTCAGTAAATAAACTGTGTGAGGGGTGCTATATCAATGCAAGTTGTTGTTATTAATTATTAGTATCAATGCGGTGGAAGGATATGTAACTGAAAGCAAGTACCACAACCTCCACTAGGTGACAGTGTTGGACCACACTGCTCAAAGTGCCATGAAAACAGTGCTGAATTGTCTTAAAACTCACAAGGAAAACGTTATAATATTTGTTTCTTTCAAGATTCTCCATCCAGGACTCCAGCACTGGTTAGTTCTGATGAGCACGATAAATGCCTGATCAACGATAGACTCTCTCATGAGGAGTATAGCAGTAGGGGCTTGTCAATTCTGCAGTATCCATATGGTAAGCACATCGCACTATATCCCCATCACCTCTTCCTGCCGAGCTATGTCCTGTAGCCAGTGCTTCATGATCTAGGGAAGATAACCTGCCAAAATATCTGTTCTAAAACAGTTTAACGTTAGACGGGTTGTGAGAATGTAGAATCTGGAGTTCTGTGTCTTAGTGGTTAGTGTGCTCACCTCACAAGTGAGAAGATCCAGGTTCAATTTCAGGCAGGGTGAATCTTAGGCAAGTTTCCTTACTTCACACCCCACTGTTTAGCTACAGTAACTAGGGACCCATTGTTAGTCGATTGGTAGGTTACTTTCTGGGGGTAATAATCCCTCAAAAAAACAAATTGGTCCACGACTGTTTGTAGGACATTGCTATGCACAATTGGCTGCTGCGTTTCACCCACAAAATACACAGTCAATCCACTTTACAATATATTCTGTGAAGCACTTTGAGATATCTTAGTGACATGATAAAGGACTATATCAAATGCAAGGATTATTATTAGTTGCCACAAACAGTAGTTGAAGCAGAGTCTATAGACTCTTTAGAAAAGAACATTAGTGGATTTTTATTGTTATGATATTGAAGATATTGTCGCAGTAGTGTCCTCTGCTAAGTTTTGGGTTAGGTTAGAGAATTTTCTCTCTGAATTGGCCAACAATCCTCTAGGTTAAATTGGTCATTCGCTTCCTGGCTGTTTGTGGGGCATTGCTGTAGGCCTGACTAATGCCTGTGTGTGTGCCTGTTTTCAGACAATGGCTTTTATTTGCCTTACTATGGGAAGGAGAAACAACAGTGTGACATTCGCAGAGTCTTGCGCCGTTCGGATTCAAAGAACACCACCAAAAAGGACCCCACTCTTTTGCTGCACTGGTGGAGAGAAATTGTCTGCACCATTATTTTTTGTGTTGTCGCAACGACCTTTATAGTTCGCAAACTTGTTCACGCCTCAACTTCAGGAAGGGAATGTGTCCGGGTACGTTTTTAATCTTATTTTTAAGCCATTTAAAAATGTTTGTTTAATTCACCGTTTAGGACACTCCATGATAAACCCACACACCTTTTAATTCAGAGGTGGAATTCCAGTGTTTGAACCGGTTTCAGATTAGGGCTTCATTTGCACAATGTGGAGTAATTTTCTTTGCATCATAAATGGACCCTTGTGTTGCTAAACCCGAGTGTAATGTGATCTGACTATTGCCGAACATCGAGGCGATGTTGGTAAATCCACTTTAAAAATCTTTTGATATCTTACCACTTTTATAAAGCCCTGCACTGCAGTTACATTTATTGTGCCAAAGATTGCTTGCAGATTAGGGTTGAAACTATTTGCACTGTCTTAAGTATGTTATCTTCCCTCTGCAGCAAAGGAAAGAGTCAGAGACGCAGTGTCAGACTGACTCCAAGAGTGATACAGCTACTGAAGAGCTAAAGGAAATTCAGGGAATCGACTCCAAGTCAACTGGTTATGTGTCCAGGTAAAGAGGAAGCAAACTGAGTTCTGTTAGTGATGCCATATTGCATGTTATGCAGGAAATTCTTCCTGCAGGTGGAATGTGGCTCGATTGACTGGAGCTGGTGCTGTTTTCAACAACAACAAACTACATTTATATAGCGTGATTTACATCAGAAGGATACCCCAAGGTGCTTCTCAAGTTGCTCATTATTGATCCTGTTTGAATCAATTTGTGGAAAGTGCCTCTAGGTTTCCAGGCTGGTTTCCACAAGCTAGTCCACAATGTAGAGCTGCTTTTAGTTCTGAGGGGTGGTGAGGGTGAACCTTCAGGAGCAGTCACTATCTTGACAGCAATTACTTATGCGGAACTTTGAAATGTGTTGATGTAATTGGCGCTATATCAAACGTAAGGAATTTTACTTGATAAGATGCATTCATTATGTCTAACAGAGTCTAGGTTTCTATGCTGCCTGTGTTTCTAGGTAAAGATAATAATAATAATAATCCTTGAATTTGATATAGCGCTTTTCACGTCGGGAGGACGTCCCAAAGCGCTTCACAGAATATACTGTAAAGTGAATTGACTGTATATTTATGGGCGAACGCGGCAGCTAATTGCGCACAGCAATGTCCCACAAACAATCGTAGATTGAAAATTACCAATTTATTATTGTTTTTGGTTTTGGAGGGATTATTATTAGGTGTGTGGAGTAAGGAAACCTGCCCAAGGTTTCGCCCTCTGCCTGGAATTGAACTCAGGTCTCTCACTTGCAAAGGGAGTGCTCTAACCACTGAGCTACAGGACTCCACTAAGATAGTCAGTATATTATACGGTTGCTATGCAGAAATCTTTTCAAAAAAATTCTGATTCACTGCTACCATTAAACATTAAAATCAGTTGTAGAGTTTTCTACTTGTGACTTCTAAAACATTAACCTTTTCAGGGCAGTTCCATTTGACAACCATTAAAGCTCGCAGGCATCAAGAAATATAGAAACTCAATTTACATTGCTTTTTGCAGCATATACTTAGTTTCCAACAGGCATAGCCCCAGTCATACATAATATATCTTGTGTCCTTCAGATGCCTCACAGACTTTGAATTGGTGCAGTGTCTCGGTCGCGGAGGGTTTGGTGTCGTCTTTGAAGCAAGAAACAAAGTCGATGACTGTAATTATGCCATCAAGAGGATTCGTCTCCCAAATCGGTGAGCAACTAACTGACTAACTCGCACAAAGAGAGCGGCTGTAATTGTTTCAAATGTGCTCATCTCTTGGCTAGAATAATTAGTGTGGTTGTGGCTGCTTTGCATCGAGCAAGAGTACCGTGGGAGGTTTTCAATTCCCAGTTAAGTCGCAGACCTTGACAGACACGTTTGGTTTTGCTTCTTGGCTTGTTATCTCTTAAGGGTTGTGGTACGTTGAAAGTAGCCAGGGAGGCTGCAATACAGGCACATTGCTGCTGTGTGTCAATTGGCTGTTGCATTAGCCTAAAACATCCATCACTACAGTTTACAGTAAATCTTGGAGAATGCTTTGAGGTGTTCCAATACCATGGTTATTGAAAATCAAATGAGAGGACACGATGAAATCCCTTCCAGTGTTTGTTCACATTTGCGAATTTACTAGTTTTATTGCACTGTGTGTTGACGATGCTTCTTTCTCCTGATTTGACACACACTAAGGGATGAAATTTGCGACATTTCAGAACTGGCTCCTTGTGATAATTAGGATTGTTATATTCTGCTTCAACCATTTATTTGGGTAGAGCATTCCATGTCCTTATAACTTGCGTGCATGTGAAAACTTTCTAACAGTTTGGTGATGAGGTTAAATATATTCCTTTATCAAGACGTAAACGGCCCTGTTAATTCGACCCAGCTTGCTGCGATGTTCACTGAGCCTATCGCAAGCTACCATCTTACATTATCTGCTTATCAACCAACTTATCTAACATGGATGCTACAGGGTGAGTTCAGCAGAGGTATCTTGTGGACCTGTTTAGCCCACACTTGTATATGTGACTGACTGAGTTAGCACAACATATTCTAGAAGTTCCTCCACAGCCAGAATAAAGTTTAGGTCGTTTGTAAGCACTTCAAAGTAACGTCTTTCTGCCATCACTTTCGTCTCCTGCTCAGAGGTTCTAAAATCTGTTGCATCTTAACCCGTGAAGTAAAGCGGTGTCTTTATTTTTACTGGTAGCAACAAAAGGGAATATTGCAATGGTTCAGTCTCCTGTATCTCTACAATTTGCGTTAAATTGCAGTGAGCAAGCCCGTGAGAAGGTGATGCGGGAGGTTAAGGCTCTGGCCAAACTGGAACATCCTGGAATTGTCCGCTATTTCAATGCTTGGATAGAGGCACCGCCTGAAGGATGGCAGGAGGAGATGGATAAAAAGCTGCTGAAGGATGAAAGGTAAAGCAGTCTTCAGCTATTTTTCTTTGAGAAGCTAATAGTTGCTTGATCTTTGGTCTCAGCTCACCTTCTACTTGTAAACAACCTCATCTGAAGGAATGAGGGTGAAGTGCAATCTTTGCCCATCAAGTAGAGCTTCTGTGATATTAATAACATCCATTGGAGGGCAGTTAGGATACATGGGATGACTATTTTGTTGCTTTGAGGGTGTAATTATTTTGTATCCTTCCGGAATCCACACCCACCACCACCCAAAAAGAGCTGTCAGGTTACCTTTTTTCTTTGCTTTTCACTTGAAACTAACTGTTTACAATAAAACACCTCCCTTCAAATCTTCGCCATATTCATGTGTAACTAGCTCTTAACTGTGGAAGGTAGCTAGGTGGTGACGTGTCAGTGTTGGTGCTTATTGCCATGTCCCGCGTTGCTTTGAGAAGCATGGAGAGCAAGGGAAATAATATTTTTGACTCCTATCCACTGCTGTGTAGGAATGAAGAATGTAATAAACTTGTCTTGTTAATATCTAATAGAATCATGGAATGTTACAGCACAGAAAGGGACCATTCAGCCCATCATGTCTGCAGTCCACATTCATTCCTCTTTTGCCGGCTGATAGCATTTATTCCCTATTCCAAGTTGCTCTGAGCAGGTGTACGGTTTTCAATCCAGGATGGTTTGTGGGATACTGCTGTGTGCAATTGGCTGCTGCGTTTCGCCCGCAAAATATATAGTCAATTCACTTTATTCTGTGACGCACCTTGAGACATCTCTCGACTCTCTACCCCTTCCTCGCTCCCTCCCTTCCCTCCTCTCACCCTGACCATTTCCCCCTTGCTCGGGTCCCGACCCAACTGTACAGCGCCTTGGGAAGTCCTCCTGACGTGAAAGGCGCTCTATAAATGGAATCTTGTTGTTGTTGTTGTTGTGATAAGGGACTATATTAAATGCAAGGATTATAGTATGGTCAGACAGATTCCATTCTTCAGAACCGACATTCAGCCTGTTTGTTCAAATGGACATCAAATTGCTTGCATATTGTCCTTGAGCCATCTAGTACAATCCCACTCTCCTGCTCGCTCCCCATCCCCAATAATATGGTTCATTTCACTGCAGACTATTAATAGTGAATATTGTTTTCACTGAAATGCTTGCCTTTTATTTGTTGTGTTCTACTTTTGTTTCCCCAGCACGGAATGGCCAGCCAGTTCCCCAGATGCACTGGAAGCTGCCTCTGCTAACCGGCCCAAACCTGTAATGCTAACAAACTGTTTTGGGCACTTCACACCTTCAGTGAATGTGCTCACTCCCCCTGTTGTTGCTGCCGGTCAGCGGTTACCTTCGGGAGAGCCGTGCGGGGGTCTACGGTTTTCAAAGGACCTGAGTCAGTCTATGGAGCAGTTGCAGTGTGGCCAGGACAGTCTTCTATCTGAATGTGGAAGCGAGGACCGGTCTGACGTGGCACATTCCTTTGAGCTGTGTGTGTCGGTTGGCAGTAACTTAAGGAACGAGGACAGGACCTCGTCCTTCGATATAGTGTTTGAAGACTCTGGCTGTGACCGTTCTTCAGAGCACAATCTCAACCCGAACTCATCCAGCCACGGTGCAGGCGACAGTGGGCAATTGGCTTCCTCCTCTGACACCGGGACCACCAGTGATAACAGGCTGTCCTCTGGCCACACTCTGTCCCAATCTCCTCCCAGACCTACCTCCCTGTATTTGGACTTGTGTAAAGGACTGGAGGACAAGAACAAACTGAACTCGCCCAAGGTTTACTTGTATATACAGATGCAGCTCTGCAGGAAAGAGACGCTAAAGGATTGGATGAGCACACAGTGTACGATGGAAGCCAGGGACCGAACTGAATGCCTGAGGATATTTTTACAGATGGCTGACGCGGTACATTTTCTGCATGCTAAAGGTTTAATGCACAGAGACCTTAAGGTATGTGAGTTGATTTAACCAGATGTAGATTGTTCGTTCACTTCATGGCTGTCCGTGGCACAGTGCTGCATGTAAATTGGCTGCCACGTAGGCTTACAAAATATACAGTCACTGCACTCTTACATCCTTTAACAGAATATTTTCCAACTTTTGTGTTTTTTTTTAAAAATAGCTTATTCTGCTGGGCTTCAACATGCCCAGAGTGTTTCCAGTCTTTATATTTATAATCTCCCCCAATTGCTTTTCATGTTTCATGTACAGTGTTATTGCGCTGTCTGACTTTCACAAATGAACAAATTATTTCATATTTGTTTCCATTTGTTGTGACCTAATAACTTGAGACTGGAAGTTGCTACTGTTATTTTTCCCCAACTTCAGTTAAGTTATTATTTAATGAAACGTGTGTCTGTGAACCCCAATAATGAGTACATACCTGGTATGTGACTATATTCTGGTATGTGAGTGAGGTCCCCAGTTATGAGGTCTGAAAGTAGTTGTGTACCCCAACAATGGTACCTGACTGAGATTTCAGATGGACAGACAAGTTGGGGCGAGGATCTCACCTGTATTGCTTTGGGAGAATGACTTTGAATGTTAAACAGCACTGACAATCTAGCAGCTAGAACGCTTCCAACAAACCTACCTTAAAACTCAGCCTCAGATCACAAACTCTGTCAGGAACTTTGGAGTCCTGTAAAGTACTGGTTAGAGCACTCGCCTTGCAAGCAAGAGGGTTAGATTCCTGGCTGTGGCGAAACCTTAGGCAACCTTAGGCAATTTTCCTTACTCCACATGCCTCTCTTTACCTAGCAGTAAGTAGGAACCCGGTTGTTAATCAATTGGTGGATCGCTTTCCGGGGGTAATAATCCTCCCTCCCTTCCCCCCACCCCCCCCCCAAAAAAAAATTGGTTGCTCAATCCACGACTATTTGTGGAACACTGCTGCCGTGTTTCACCCACAAAATATATAGTCACTGCAGTTTACTGTGTGAAGCGCTTTGAGATGTCTCAACGATCTGATAAGGCGCTATATCAAATGCAAGGATTACTATTATTAAAACAGAATAATAACAGCCAAATGCTATGAAAATGCCAGTTTTTCTTTTCCTTGGTTATCTCTGTTTTTCCAAAAACGTACTCGAGCAGATGGTTAATTATCTGCACTGCTGGGACCCACCTTTGCCTTCTTCAATGCCTGTCTTAAGACCCTCCTCTTCGATTGCACTTTTGGTCACCCTCCCTGCCCTCCCCCCTCCTTGCCCTCCAATCATCCTTTTGGTCACCCTCCCTACTCTCTGCGCTTTGCCCTCCCTGCCCTCCTCCTGATCCCAACCCCCATCTTGGGTCCTAATTCCTGACTGTCCAGTGTCTTGGGATGTCCTCCCAACGTAAAAGGCACTATACAAATGTAACTTCTTCTTGTTGTACTGTAGAGCCCAAGCCAGGTGGGAGATCACAGGATAGGAGGGAGGTGACCAAATGTGAAATTCTTGGGAGTGCGTAGCATACAATGGCATTGTAAAGGGACATTGTAATGGGACATTGCTGTGCGCAATTGGCTGCCGCGTTCGCCCACAAATATACAGTCAATTCACTTTACAGTATATTCTTTGAAGCGCTTTGGGACGTCTAGAAGACGTGAAAAGCGCTATATCAAATGCAAGGATTATTATTATTATTATTGGTGGCCTAATGCTTCCAGAGAGGCAGGATGTGTGGAGTCCTGTAGTTTACTGGTTAGAACACTTGCCTCGCAAGCGAGAGGCCTGGGTTCTCTTTCTGACAGGGTGAAATGTTGGGCAAGTTTCCTTACTCCACACGCCTCTGTTTACCGAGCAGTAAGTAAGAACGCGATTGTTAGTCGATTGGCGGATTACTTTTCTGTTGATAATATTCCCCCAAAAACCCAATAATAATTTGGTCACTCAATCCACGACTGTTTGTGGGATACTGCTGTGCGTATTTGGCTGCCGTGTTTTGCACACAAATACGCAGTCAAATCACTTTACAGTATATTCTGAGAAGCGCTTTGAGATGTCTAAAAGATGTGAAAAGCGCTATATCAAATGCAAGTATTATTATATGTACCTGTCCTATACTTCTCCCCGCTCCCCTTGCTTATTACAATTTAACTTTGCTGACTGAACATTTACTAAAGTATATTTGCTAACTCTCCTATTTGTAACTATAGGCTGTGTAAGGATTGTTGTTTTTTGAATGCATTTTATGTTTTGAAATGTCGCTCTTGTATTTTAATTTCTTAAAAGCCTTCGAATATTTTCTTCACGTTGGAAAATGTGGTGAAAGTTGGTGATTTTGGACTGGTGACTGCCATGGACCAAGAGGAGGAGGGATGCGTACTTACCCCAATGCCGGTATATGCTCGGCACACAGGGCAAGTGGGCACCAAGCTGTACATGAGCCCAGAGCAGGTGAATGACGTTTCCAAAAATCTCTTCAAGTCTGTTCAGGCTACATAGTGTTTGTAGACAAACACTCCTCGAGTGGAGTCCCGTGGCATAGTTGTCAGTGCGCTCGCCTCGGAAGCGAAAGAACCCAGGTTCGATTCCTGGGCTGAGTAAAACCTTAGGCAGGTTTCCTTACTCCACACGCCTCCGTTTACCTAGCAGTAAGTAGTAACCCGGTTGTTAGTCGATTGGCGGATAAGAATTCCTCAAAAAAAAATTGGTCACTCAATCCACAACTGTTTCGAGACACTGCTTTGCGCAATTGGCTGCTGCATTTCACCCACAAAATACAGTCAATCCACTTTACAATATATTCCATGAAATGTTTTGAGACCTCTCAATGACATGATAAGGCGCTATATCAAATGCAAGGATTATTATTATTCAGACCTTTATAAAGCTGTGCTACTGTGTTTGTGCCTTGCAGATCTCAGGAAATGCATATTCTCACAAAGTGGACATCTTTTCTTTGGGACTGATCCTATTTGAACTGCTGAATCCCTTCAGCACGCAAATGGAAAGAGTGCAGGTAAGGATTGAAAGTGGTGCGCAGTACACATCACAAATATGATCAGTCTTAGCTCTTGGTTAGCTGAAGCTAAATTACCTACTTGTATTCCTGATGTACTGTATGGTCAACATTCTCCCATCTGGTCCTGAAAACCCTCCAGTCCGTCACCCAATGGACTGTTCTAATGTATAAATCGAGATGTGCGGGCTGTTTGAGGGTAAGGGAGGTGAGGAGTCACTCCTATGTCCCAGTGCACCACTCGCCCACTATCCACATGTGTATTTAGCAGCAGATCATCTGCATGGTCCTCAGGAGGTAGCCGGCCTGACATTTCCGTGGTTCTTTTCTCCTGTCTAAACGATGATTAAACTTTGATCCCATGGTTCAGTGACTTGCTGTACATTTGGGGCCTCCCATTAACGTGAGGTACTGTAGAGCTCCATTATAACTTGGTAGTTGTGTGTCTGTAAAATCCCAACCAACGTTCTAACTGGACATGATTGCTGGTCAGCATTTCCACATTCAAGCAGAAACTCTGCTGTGCTGAAGAAATGGCCCCTATTGGGTCAATGAGTCACCATGCTTGCACAGGAAGTGATAATGATGACCTAGAAGTCGGCCATTTTAAGCCAAAAAGGCTTACTTCGGGGACAGTCCTTGCTGACTTTACTGAGTGTGCACAGGTGGGGACCTGAAAACCCAGAATTTGGCCATTCTGTAGTGCCCAGGAAGCTGGCCAGCATTTTGTAGTGAGCCAGGCCAACTTTTGCAAGCATTTTGGATTTTGTGGTTAGTAAATGTTGGGGGTCCATATCATTGTAAGGGAACTTCCATTCTACCGAAGGGTATTATGACAGGGGAACTGCATGTAATATTTATGTGATTACTCTCTTCACAGACGTTAATGGAAGTGCGAGAACAGAAATTCCCCATTTCATTTTTTGATCAGTATCTTCAAGAGGTGAGGTGTTTTATGCTCAAATTTGTGATTTCCTCCTCATTGCGTTATGCTAAGTTGCTTAGAGAATAAGCTACATTGGGTGAATGAAGGAGATGGTACATGTGATGAAATGTGTGCTCATCTGTTTTCTCTTGCTCTTTAAAAAAATATTTTAGTCCAGTTTGTTCCTGTTCTGGTCTTCTCTTATCTGGGGTTCTGTTCCACAAGCTCTGGTTGCCCTCCAGTATCCCATTCAACTGGCCATTGTTTGCCACTGTGAGCCCAGGCAGTACATGTGGCAGGTACTCAACTATAGAGGGCGTCACAGCTGAGTCTGTCTTCTTCCCACCCGGCTACCACACTTGGGAACAATCTATGCTGTAGAGCAGATGTTGAAATTCCTAAGTGGTGATCGGTGGGAGGTGAAATATTCCTCTCTCCTCCCACTTTCTCTTCTCCACCCCCCAGCCCCGCAACACTGTCCTCACACTCGTACAAATCACTTCATGCCTTGACACTTCCCTTCCTACCTTTCCAACCTGCTTATACCTCATTCCTCTACTTATCCCCTTTCCTCAGTTGACTCCAGCACATCCTTCACACCTTCTGCCATCGGGGGTTATGCTTTCAGCCACTACAACCCAAGTCTGTTGTACTCTCTGCCTCAATCCCTCCACATTCCCAATTCATTGTTAGTCTTCATCCCTAACCTTCCTCTTTGACTGTGCCAATAGTCACCTCCCGCTCTCCCTGGCTCGGCGTCAAGCTTCCTTACTGTTAAGCACTCCAAGACACTGCGTGGTATGGGTAGGAAACAAAGAGTAGGGATAAACGGGTTCTTTTCGGATTGGCAGGATGTGACTAGTGGAGTGCCACAAGGATCAGTCCTTGGGCCTCAGCTATTTACCATCTACATCAACGATCCAATTGAGCACATCGAAGTTAATATATCTAAATTCGCGGATGACACAAAACTAGGAGGAAGTGTCAACACAGAGGATGACATTAAAAAAATGCAGCGAGAGATAGATAGGTTAGGTGATTGGGCAGGTAGGTGGCAGATGAAGTATAATGTAGGGAAGTGCGAAGTCACCCACCTTAGATAGCAAAAACAGTAGAGCAAGTTATTTTTTAGAAGGGGAGAGATTGGAATGTGTTGGCGTCCAGAGGGACTTGGGTGTCCTTGTACACCAATCACAGAAAGTTAGTCTGCGGGTGCAGCAGCAATTAGGAAGGCGAACGGTATGTTAGCATTCATTATGAAAGGATTAGAGTATAAGAGTAGGGAAGTCTTGCTGCAACTGTATAGGGCCCTGGTGAGACCACACCTGGAATACTGTGTGCAGTTTTGGTCTCCTTATTTAAGAAAGGATGTACTTGCCTTGGAGGGGTGCAGCGTAGATTTACTAGGTTAGTGCCAGGGATGCAGGTGATGAGTTACGAGGAGAGGCTGACCAATTTGGGCCTATATTCTCGAGAACATAGAAGAATTAGAGGGGATCTTATAGAAACCTATAAGATCATCAAAGGGTATGATAGAGTAGATAGTGGGAGATTGTTTCCCCTGGTTGGAGAAACTAAAACCAGGGGTCACAACCTTAAAATCAGAGGCAGCCCTTTCGCACTGAGTTGAGGAAGAACTTCTTCACTCAAAGGGTGGTGAATGTATGGAACGCACTACCCCAAAGGGCTGTTGACGCTCAGTTCTTGAACATATTCAAGACTGAGATAGATAGATTACTTATTGCAAAAGGGATTAAGGGATATGGGGATAAGGTAAAGTTAGGTTATTAGCTGGAGGTAGATCAGAAGATCGGCCATGATTGAATGGCGGGGCAGGCTCGAAGGACCTAATGGCCTACTCCTGCTCCTATATGTTATGAAGGGCGTTGTATATACAAGTTGATAATTATTTCCATCTCCTGCAGTGTGAAATGGTGCAGCAGATGCTCTCTCACGAGCCTTCTCTACGGCCTGAAGCTGTGGACATCGTGGAGAGTTCCATCTTTGAGAATCTCGATCTCCCCGAGAAGACGGTGTTGAGGCAGAGGACACGAACATTGAGCTCCTCCGGAGTCAAAATGCTGCGAATGTCAGTTAGCTAATGGCAGATTTTTAAAAAAACCTCACCTTGCCTGATTTTTGGAAGTCTTCCTTTTTGCCTGACATTGTACAGTGTTTGTGGAAATGTTTACAAAGCGGTGTCGGACTCATCTCGGATGTTAAAAGGTCAAGTGACGCACTATTACATTTTCATTGCTGAAATACTTGCATTTTGTAATCAATTGCCAATTGCAAACTGAACATTTTTGTAGAAACTGACATTTGGGAATCAGCTTTCAGCTTCCCAAATCATCTCCATTTTTGTTCAGTGTCCATTGCCATTTTTTTTGGTCAGCAGGGCGTCTTGACATGCACGGAAACCCATCACCAGGCTTAAGAGTATCCAAAGCAAACTGAGAATTCCATGCATCCTACCTACATGTGGAAATTCCAGAGATAGATTGTTGGAATGCTCACTCTCTCCCTGGAGTGACATATCCTGCTTACCTAATTCCTGTAAAGTATTAAACGCAGATTGGCAAGAGCCAAGGCTTGGGGATCCCAGAGTGTGAGGGGTCAGAGGAGCACATATTGTTAATACTGTAATTCATCTGACCTTAATGCGTGCCAGGTTTCACAGTGAATTTTCTTATCACTATTGAAATACAGGCACTTTCTATAAATAGGAAGTATCAATGGTTTGATTTTGTGTGGTTGCATATTTATGAATGCTGGGTGCCCTTATGAACCAATGTCACTGTTGGGAAGAGCATTTCTCTTTCATGCAAATCCCAATTTTTACATTGTCTGCTTCTCTTCCTCACATTACAGTAGTCTTGCCTTATGGTCACTCTCTTCAGATTATGATCTGACCCACAGCCCAACAAATCCAACGGCAATCGGCTTTGGGCACGACCATTTTCGATTGAGTCGGGGGAGAGACTGGAGGAAAAGGGAGTTAGTTGGACATGCAACTTCTAGTGGCTCCGTTGTCAATTTGTCAACAAACCGATAAGTCGCACAAAGTTGCAATAAATACAGTAAACTCCTGATAACTCATCATGCCAAAGGAAAGGGGCTCAGTGATGAGTTATCCGGAGTGGCAAGTTAGGCATATGTAGAAATACATCAATAAGTGTGGCTGGAATATTGACAGCATGATGACTTAAATGGTTGTGACAAGTTAAGCCTGGGTTGAGTTGTCAGGATTTTACTGTGTTATCTACCTACTTGATTTGAGAATGCCTTGAGGCAAGAATGCTACTTAATGATTCAAATTCATAATAAGCTGAATTTTTAACATCTCTATATACTTTATTTCCTTGTCCTCTTGTAACTTTTGATTATCGTTGGGGAGTTTTGTGCCCCCTCGATGTCAAACCTGGTGTGCATCAAATACTAAGTATTCCTGTTTCCAGTGTTTTGCAGTATGTGGCCTACTTGCAACTGGAATTCAACATTTAAAACAGCCACTTGGTTGTGTTTGGTTGCTCACCCTTTAAAATTCAGTCAAAATTCCAAAATATGTGGAGTCCTGTAGGTTATGGGTTAGAGCACTTTACACTGTATTCTGTGAAGCGGTTTGAGACGTCTCAAAGATGTGATGAGCCGCTATATCAAATGCAAGAATTATTATTATTAGGTTTGAGGGCTGAGATTAGCCAGATTCATGTTAGTACCAATGTCTCCCTTTAGGCTGTTATTCTCTTTGCATGTCCATAATTGACTGCTGGATAAAAACGAGCGGACATAATGATGATGATAATTATAATCCTTGCATTTGATATAGTGCTCATAACGCCTTTGAGACGTCTCAAAGTGCTTCGCAGATTAACTGTAAAATAAATTGACTGTATATTTTGTGGGTGAAATGCAGCAGCCAATTGCGCACAGCAGTGGCCAACAAACAGTCGTGGATTGATTGATCAAATTTTTTTTAAGGGATTATTACCCCGGAAAAGTGATCTACCAATCGACTAACAATCGGGTTCTTTCTTACTGCTAGATAAACAGACGTGTGGAGTAAGGAAACTTTCCCAACATTTTGCCCTGCCCGGGAATTGAATCCTGGTCATCTTGTTTGCAAGGCAAGTTCTCTAACCACTAAGCTAAAGGACTCTAAGTAATAATCCTTCCATTTGATAAGCCACTTTCACCTCGGTAGTATGTCCCAAAGCGCTTCACAGGATTTACTATGAAGTGGAGTGACTGTATTTTGTGGGTGAACGCAGTAACCAATTTTGCACTCAGCAAAGTCCCACAAACAGCCATAGAGTGAGTGACCTTCTTTTGAATAGTGTCATGGAATCTTTAACATCCACCTGAACAGGCAGACAGGTCCTTGTTTTTAATGTCTCATCTGAAGGACATGGTGCAACAGCTGAGAGGAACCTTCAAACTGAGCTTCCTGTCCTATGGGCAGGTGTATCCTTCGTTCAAGTGGAGCCCAATAATGGAGTGGTTAGCACGCTCGCCTTGCAAGCAAGAGGACCCGGGTTCAAATCCTAGGCAGGCGCAACCTTGGGCAAGTTTCCTTACTCCACACTTTTCTGTTTACCGAGCATTAAGTAGGAACCCAGTTGTTAGTCGATTGGCAGATCGCTTTCTGGGGGTTATCATCTCTTTTTAAAAAAAAAATTGGCCACTCAATCCACGACTGTTTATGGGACACTGCTGTTTATGCCCATCTAACTCTGAAAGCTATGATAGTGCATTGTCACTGTTTGGAGGTGATGTGAATAAATGGGTTAATGCGGGGTGGTGAGACCATTGGATTTCCAGTTTGAAAGTTTCAATCATCTGCTTGGATGATTGAAATTAGCAACCTCCTCATCCAATGACTCAAATAGCTCTCCGATGCCAGTCTTTACAAATGAAAGAAAAAATATTCTGAATGGATCCATCCCAATGAAATGTAGTATATATATGTTGTACAGAAGCCATTTGTTGCTTGACAATGTTTATATTAAAAAAAAGTAAGTGGAATTAGTGCCATGATGCGCTATTCCCCTCTTGGCTTAATTGCAAAAGTACCTACGTTGTCGATGTGTACTTGCTAAGTTTAACTATCTTCCGCAAGGTAGGAGCTGAGCACCTTTTAAAAGGGACTAGAGCAGGGAGAGACTGTGCTAAGGACTACTTGGTACTCATTCTTCCCTGCTTGGCTGAGTCACTTTAAGATGTTTTATTTGTGTGTCTTAAGAGCCAGATCACTGCCTCTGTGTAAAGCAGCCTTAAAAATCATGTTTGGAAACTCACTTGCCCTACGAGTGATCAACGGTTGGAAATAAGTACCATCAGACACAATAAGACAGTCTCTATAAAAAAAGACATTCATTGCAAATCACTTTAATACTTGCTTCTTAACTCTGCCACTGGACATTAAGTTTTTGCTGTTTACATTGGAAAAAAGCTTTCTTAAATTAAATCCCAAGATTTAGCATGTTGAATAATTATGCTCATTCAGGTTCATGTAGTTCATTCAATTTGATTTTATTCTAACAGGTTCTGCGTAAAATCCGACAGCAAAGATTCTTTGATAACTTTGTCATACTGTATTCTTGTTTCTTTATTATCAATCTGCTAGGGTTGGTGGTATTGGGAATGCACTCCATACAAATAATTGGTGCATTGTAACATTGTGACTTCATACAAGTCTAAGTGATTCAATAAAGTATTGAATTCTAATCGTGTGATTTCAATGACAATATAGTACCTGGAATAGAAAACAATTTGAATTGTTCTGGCAAACTACAAATATAATCCTTTCCTTTGATATGAGTACCAAGTGTTTCAGCGTTTTCCTGTAAGTGTAGTGACTATGTTTGTAGGTTATGGTGTTGAGTCTTGTTGCGTAGTGGTTAGTGTGCTTGTCTTGCAAGCAAGAGGTATCAGCATCTCCAGAGGGGAAGGGAAGCCTTGATTCTCACTCATTCCACAAATGTCTGTGTGTTAGATATGGGGGACAAGTGCCAGAGCATCAATTCATTCATTATTCCACCTCGTTCACCTGTGGTCATGAATTGGCACTAACGTCTTATGGATACTATTGTCTAATTTACTGCTGCTCACATCTGTGGGGAGGGAAGGTGTATTTAAACCAAAATACACTGACTTGCAGGAATCGCTGTGTTCAAAGGTTTCATTAAATCTGGCTGTCATTGGAGCCAGTTCCCATGTGTTAATGAGAATCAGTGAAGGTGAGTTTACAAGCTCCTGGGAGTAACATTGGCAGTCGCAATCTGTTTGTGTGTGGGTATATGTATGTGTACTTGCAAATCCTTGCATTTGATATAGCATCTTATTGCGCTGTTGAGCTGTCTCAAAGCGATTCATAGAATATACATTGACTATTTTGTGGCCAAATGTGGCAGCCAATTGCACACAGCAGTGTCCTACAAACAGTCATGGATTGAGTGCCCAAATTTTTTTGGGGGGAATTATTACCCCCAGAAAGCGATCTGCCAATTGACTAGTAACCGGTTCCTACTTACTGCTAAGTAAACAGGTGTTTGGAATAAGGAAACTTGACTAAGGTTTTGCGCCACCTGGAGAATCGAACCCGTGTCCTCTTGCTTGCGAGGTGAGCCCACTAACCACTACGCTATGGGACGTCTGGAATACAATCCTGGGCATTCTGAGGGCGTGTGTATATACAGCTAATGGTTTGCTGCTTATTGCAATATTTAGGGGATGTGTATTTGCAGCTTGGATAGGGAATGGCTATAGAATATGGAAACTCCCTTCTCTTGTATAATGCCATGGATCTTTTAGGGTCCACTTGAACAGGAACAGACAGGACCTTAGTTTAACATTGCATCCGAAGGACGATATCTCTCACAATGCAGCACTTCCAAGCACTACACTGTAGTGTCAACCTGTAATGTGGGTACAAAGTCCTGATCTCGGGTATGAACCCACAACCTTCTGATTCAATAGGTGAAAATGCTACCAATGAGCCAGGCTGACACACTGCACCTTCGAGGCAGCTCAGTGTAGTGAGCAAGTCCTGAGCCATAGAGACTAGGAAGGATCCAAGGTCTATTTACAACCCGAGCTGACCTGCAGTCCCCGTGCTTTCAGAAGAACAGCATGTCCCAGAGCGAAACTGACAAGAAAATAAATATAATTCAATGGATACATCAATTGCTAAGGAATGCCCTGGAAGCTGCTCCCAATTATCCAGTGCTACTTGCAGTCCTTTTTTTAAGGTTGTTTAGGGGCAGTGTTTGGCCAATTAAAAAATAATGCAAAGTGAATGTGTTCTGATGAGTAATTTTCATCTGATCTTTTGCTGGATAAAGGAGGAGATAGAGGGGCAAAACCTTAGTTAAGTTTCCTTACTCCACACACCTCTGTTTACCTAGCAGTAAGTAGGAACCCGGT